CCCATCTTAACATGTTTTCTTCTAAACAACAGCATTTTCCCACATGAAGGTTTCTTATACTTAATTTCAAAATCTTCATATATATTTTTTTATAAAATTCTAAACAATCCACGGGAAGGATTCCTGTAATTAATTTCAAAATCTTATTTCAAATCCATCTGGCCCCCTAGTCCTTTTATAACTTTCCAAAATCAATGTTCTAATCATCCTTTTGCTGTTTATTCCAAAGTAAGAATTTTTTAAGTCCTTAAACTTGCATAAAACTTCTTTCACCAAGGATTGAAGGAAACTCACCCTGTGTAATGAGACTTGTCTTTCTGAAGGTTTTTAATATAACCCCCTCCCCTTAACAAACAATTTCCTGAAGTAATTAAGAAAGGAAGTATGCTAACCCAGCATCCTTTTGAAGGCTCCAAACCACAGCTTGGGCAGAGATGGCTTTCCCTCAGCTTCCAGAGCTCTAAACCCACCAGAGACTGCTGTCTTACAGTCTCCTCATGAGGAGCTGCTGTATCGGGCACATGTGGGCAATCCCAAATCCACCCCTTGTCTGGAGAGGAATTCTGAGGAGCCAATCTGCTGCAGTCGTTGGCTCTGCTGTTTGCCATTGCCTCCCTGGAAGTCCTGGGAAAACATTAAATTTTAAAGGATGCTTTGGTAGCATTCTTGCTTAGTAGGGAAATTAAGCAAAACTGTGTTTGTTCTATAAATACTATTCTAAAAGTATACTGTGTACTATTTTATGGAAATGAGTGAACAGTTTAATTGTGGATAAAGTTGTTACCTTTTTCATGGATAAAGGGAGCATGCCTGATTATTATTATTATTTTTCCTATTACAGGATTTCCACATTAGACATAGGTCTACAGGCTTTCAGTCAAAAGGGGAATAACTGAAAGTCTTTTTTTTTTCAAAAAAAAAAACCCGTTGATGTAATTCCAAATGTATATATTTCAATCAATGTCCTGTTCTCTGCCCTTGAGGATATCCTGGATAGCTTTCCACAACATGCTAAGCCAAAACCAAACAACTCATGTTATAGTTTAATATGACGTGTTAACTCATCTGATTATGGATTATTCAGTAAATTGTGCTTAAACAAACAATGGCTCAGTATGTTATGTGAATCTAAGCACTTTATGGATGGTGTCTATCCAGGCTTTTAAACAGCCACTCCTCTAATCTCCCAGCCACAAGTAGAACCACAGATTGGGCTGGTAGCTGCATTTACTGGCCCTTATGAACTGTACAGACTTCATTAATTTGTAGCCTAGCCTAAAAAAAGGCTTGTATCAAAAATCAAACAGGCAGATCTCAGGTTCTTGAAAAAAAGTTGAGATAAAATTTAAGAACTAATACAGGGCCTACCCTACAACTTATAAATATAGACCCTCCCCAATCCTGTCCTTACATAAACTCAGTTTTATGCATATATTTCATAAGTACCTCTACATTTTTAAAGGTGTGAATGCAAAGTGTGCACTCATGAATACCCATCTTATGCAAACATTGGTTATTCAAGGCTGTTCAGAACAAAACAAGTACATAAGTTCTGAGGTGCCAGTCAGAGAATTTCTGCATTTTAACCAGTTTTCATAGTTAATTTGATGAAAGAGAATTTGTCTTAGTCATTTTCTTTCCAAATTAAAAAAAAATATTTCAGAGAAATTATTTTGGGTGGAATATGGCAGTCTTGTTCTTGTCTAGCTAAGAGGCAGCTAAGGAGTATGTCTGTCTCGCCTTTCATTACACAACAGTCTTTCTAGCAACCTCACTAGGCTACCACAGTTCAATTAAATCTAAGGAAAGTTAAAGCCAGGAAACTTCTCATCAGCCTGTTCAGTAGTAGGCACTGCTAAGTAGGCAAGGGTGTGTGTCCTGGCCTTGATAAATTGGTGCAGAAATTCTGAGAAACTTTCTACCAGAGTCCTCTGCCCCAAATTTGGTAAAGAATTTCAAAAAGTCACTTGTCCCAGCTCTAGTTATATACATGGCAACAGTTCAAGAGCAATTTTTAAAAAGGAAAAGCCTTCATAAAAACAGTTGTGCTGAAAACCTTTCCTACTCTGCTGTCTTCAGATATTTTGCATTACGCTCCTTGGTCTGTTGGTTCTAGTCTATCACTCCTGGAGGGTATCAGAGTGGAGAAAGCTGGCTTTTTTAAAAAATCCAGGGTTTTGGACAACTATATTCCTCTGGAAGGTGGACAGATAGAGTAGCATCTCTGGCTCAGGTTCCCCACCAACTGATAGTCAAAGGTCTTCTTTGATAGTATCAGATTACTTCTGATACTGGAAGTAATATATTGCCATTAATGAGCAGTAGCCATTAACAGCCTTTTCCTCCATGACTTTATGTAATTTCTTTATGGCTGTCCAGGTTGGTAGACACCACTACTTCTTGTAATAACAAACTCCACAGGATAACTGTTCACACTATGAAGACCTGGTTCCTTTCTTTGTTCAGAGCCTTCCATTTTTCAATTTCATTTGAATACTATGAAAGAGATGTTTTCCACCAATCTTTGCTTAACATTTTTCAGAATTAGGAAGCTCAAAATGTAATCATCTTTGTAGGCCACATAGTTTCCAATGAAGATTTAAAGCCTGGTGTATGAGCTCAACTTTTTTGCCATATTTTTTGCTTGAAATGGCAATATTACTTCGAAATTATACCCACTGCAATAGTCCAGCCATGGAAGCCTGAGTTCGAATGACTGGAGGATAGTTTAGAGTAAAGAAAGGGTTATGACTTTGCTAACATATACACATTTGATCAGTTTAATTCTAAAGCAAGGTTGTCCATATAAGTAGGCCTGCTACTCAATAAATAAATTCCTAGACCCTTTCTAAGATGCCAGGATAGAAAAAGCTCCTAATAGAAGAGAATGTAGCTCAGGGTTGAACTGTGGAGTCCTTGGTGCTCTGTGAGCTGTTTCTTGGTCTCTCCTTTGTGGAGACACACCAACTCTCCTTTGATGCTGGGACCTGGAGGAAGAACTCACTGGAGTATTGTTTAAATATTTTGTTAAAAGCACACACCTATAGCAACCTCATAAAACTTTAATTCACGTATTTGATTCATACAAAGACTCCTTGATCTAGTACAGAAATAATGTTAACAACACTTAAGGCTGCAGTCCCAAATCACTTAGTCTGAATACAATGCCATCAAGTTTAATGGGACCTATTAATGAATACATCAAGAATTAACATTACTGTGCATTCAGTTATGACCACGGGCAAGATTTGTACTGTAGGAGTTTTCCATTGCTGCTGCTGCTGCGGTTAGATCTTTATGATTTGGGACTTCATCTTAATTGAAAGAGAATTTTAAAATCCCCTCAATGCAATATTCCTTTATACATTGTTTGTTTATTTCAATTTATTCATTTTACCATTATTTCTGAGGAATCACAATTTATCCGTCCTTCTCCGCTAGGCTAAAATGTGGTTAGCGTGTGGTTCAGTGTGTCAGTCTTGAGTGGGTTCTGCACAGGACTACAACCTTGGCGAACAGGACAGGAAGTTATTCTATTTCTTACATGATGAAGAAAGAGCAGCTTTTAAAGAAACCCTGGACCGATGAGGAAAAATCAGTGGGAGGAAACTTACAGGCAAATTTTCTTTTTGATTATATGACGAAAATCCTCGTGTTGTCATACGCTTTTGATCAGCAATCTGCATATCATTCTCGAAAAGCAGGCAGCGGGGGTGCGTGTGTGTTTAAAATGCAAACTTAGTTTGAATAAAAGTTTTTCAGGCGTGCAACTTGCACCTCCTACTCCAGGAGTTGCAGCTTCTGTTTTTGTTTCTTCCCTGCCGAGTCCCACCTTCCGCCTGCGCCCCCTCCCCCGCATTTCAGATTATCCTGGGGAGGGGGAGGAGACCCGCGCCCTCCTTAAACGGGCTGCCCCCGCGCTGCACTCTGGATGCGCGGAGCCGAGCAGTCACTGGAAGAGGCGATCTGACGTCAGCCGGAGAGGTAGTTTCCAGACTGAGCTGTCAGACCGTGTAGCAGGTTAGGTATTAAAGGCACATCTAAGAGCCCCGAGACCCCTCCTCTTGAGCGGCCTGCGCCCACACAAAGAAGCCCCATCTCCTCGTCCAGCGAGGATCAGCAGCATCAACAACTAGTGCTCGCGTCGGTCAAGCCTCGGAGACAAACACTGCCGGGAGCGCGGCCGGGAGGGGAAGGGGGGGGAGTGGGAGGCAGCGCAAGGAGGAAAATGAAACCGTCGAGGAAAAGTAAGTGGCCGAGAAGTTTCTCGAGTGTTGGGTTTTCTCCCTCTCCTCCTCTCCTTTGGCTGGATGAAACCCATTTTTGTTTTGATCGCCAAAGCGTGGCGGGAGCGCACGCAGGCTGAAAGCACCGGGCAGAGAGTTCGGGGGCGTGCAGCGCGCCTCTGTTTTGCCAAAGGCACGCGGGGGAAGTTTCGCGTGCGTGTGGGCGTAGAGAATGGAGCACGTCCTGGAGAGACCGGGTGTGTTTTTGTGTGCGCGACCGTCTCCGGCGCTTGCAAAAGCTACTCAAGTTTGCCAAAAGTGGCCCTGGGGAAGAAGCGGAGATTGAAAAGCACGAGGGAAGAGGGGAGGAGGAGGAGGGCGACGGAAAAATGCCTTCCAAGCACTCAACTGTGCCGGGGGGCGAGGGAGCGAGGAAGGGAGTCTTTTGTTCGGCCCCATTTAGGACAACGGTGAGGGAGGAAAAGCAAACCAGATCCAACTTTGTACGCGCAGAAAGAAAGGCAAGATCCTGCGACCACCTGAACCTCATTGATTTCTTTAAAATACTTTAAGAGGTTCTTTTTCTTTACTTTTGCGTGTTTTTCTTTTCTCCCAATCCCAAAATGGCAACTTTCCCAATTTTCTCTTTGGCAAACTCCTCCTCCTCCCCCCCCCATTCGTATATTGCTCCCTCCCAACTCACGAGGTTTTGGATGTAATTTTATTTTCCAGAAAATTTGTTTTTTTCGCCCCCTCGCTGATTTGCGGAGCTTGTAAAATGACAGCTAGGGGGGGAGATGTGTTTGGTGTAAAACCGGGGTAACGCGTGCGGGGGGAGGGGGTGCAAGTTCCTGTTTCTTTTGGAACAAAGAGAACTCTGTCTCGGCATCTGTCACTCAGGGCAAGAGACACCGAAGGAAACTTTTTGTGTGCGCCTTCCTCAGTCCGCTCTTCGCCGCCAGTCCTTGGGGGCCCGGGAACCCTTTTATCCGGGAGGGGAAGGTCTCGGCCAACCCCCAGCCTTACCCCTTGGTCCCTCCATGGAAGGGCTTCGGAGGAGGAGAGTCGGGGGTAAGAGCGGCGATGTAACAGGCAGAAAACATGGAGTCCCGGTTGTGTGTGTGTGCGTGCGTGGTGGGTAGGGATTTAAAGAAAGAGTTGGGGGCAGGGTCGAGCTGAGGTTATCTTTGCCCTCCACTTTACTTTCTTTTCCTTTTTGGAAACTCCTGCGCCTAATCCCTGTTCGAGCCACTGCTAGTGCAAGGAATTCGGGGAGTTCGATCGTGTTTGGAAAGCGTGCGCTTCTTACTCTGTAGCAAACTTCTGACATCTTGAATTCAAACGG